GCAAACTAAAATCGCAGTAGTGTTGTTCCCTGATCCAACAGTGATTCGCAAATCATCTCCCTACTTATAGACTCTTATCTCAGATCAGAACGGATATTCCATGCGTGCAGATTATCATGAGAACTGAAAAGTCAAATTTTACTACCCTGACTCTTGATCTTTTACTGGTCCACATACTGATTTCTTGTACGTTTCCAAGCTAAATACATCTCAGTGACAAATATCCCGCCACATGCTCTTTTCAAACCATTCATTTCTTGGCTACTCCTGGACGAAATTGAACCCAGCTTTTTACTCCTACATGCTACCAAAATATAATGTGCTTAGAGTGGGATTACCAGAATGAATCGCACACCGCAGAATTACAGCAGTTGCAATAGAACTTGAGGATGGACGATTGGAGCTGACATTCACAAATCAGTTAATGTTTATATGACCTCTTCCGAGTGCTTCCAACTGTTTGTTATAAAGGAGCGCGATGAAGCAATTACCACTGGCTTACCTTCCCAACGAATTTGCACTACGCGCTATAAGTTGAAATACACGCGGGAGCGATTTTTTCTAATAGTTCCACTGTTTTACAGGTTGTCACATGTGAAATTGGCGCTAATACAGCTGCAACGAAGTGCAACGTGTCGAATTCATCCTGTTAAAAATAATGCAGTACGGTAAAATATAATACAACACAACTATCAAATACGATATATATAAAAACATACTTAAAAGACTGTAAAAAATTAATGGTAAAAAAATCATGATGAACGGAAATTGGGCGTTCTTATTCAGTACTACAACTGGGCCTCGGCAGTACGACCGATATGGTGTTGATTAAAAAATCCAGGCTGGAACGCACCAGGCTCTCCGGTGCGATTACGCATTTTTGCACTAAACTCGCAGATCGCTATTAGCAGAACTGATCCCCACGCTGTAGCCCAACACTTGGGCTCATACTGGCCTTGCTTTGACCCTTTCCGGCATGCAGGAGGAAGGGCGTCAATTGGATGAAGGTAGTGCATTACAGAGCCGCACGGACATTCAGGTGCATGATTATCGGTTTTTTGCATGAAGTCCGGTCTTTTTTCGGTAAATGCTTGCTTTATAAACGTAGGCTGGAACGCACCAGGCGAGCCGGAGCGATCATGCGTTTTTGCACAAAACT